AGCTATATATATGTGTGTGTGTAAGGCTATATAAGCTGATCACAAATCCCTCAACAAACACAAGCTGGGGAGAAAACGCTATATATAAATATCTCCAGCTGTAGTAGCGACTTTACTGAACACCCCAAAAANNNAAAAAAAAAAAAAAAAGGGAAAAAGCCATGGCTAAAAAACAGACCAAAACAACTCCTTTTTCCCCTGTTCCAATATTTGCTTTACTCGTGTTATTCATAAACGCGACTTTTGCAAGCGAGGAAGCTGACCGGATCGTGGCCTTACCCGGGCAGCCTAAAGTCGCGTTTCAGCAGTTTTCCGGCTACGTTACGGTTAATGAGGTCGCCGGCCGAGCGCTGTTTTACTGGCTAACGGAAGCCGTCGAGCAACCCCTTTCGAAGCCGCTCGTCATTTGGCTCAATGGAGGCTAGTCGATTTTTTTCTTTCTCAGAATTCTTTCATTTTTTTATTAATTAATTTTTGTACTTAAATATTATATATATGTATATTTATATTTATATTTCATTTTCATGCACTTTGATTTTGTCTCAATTTTTTTGTTTCTTTTTGTTTGTAGATGAATTTGAACTGAAAAAAAAAATAAAAAATCAAAAATTAAAATTTCTCCCACTATTTCAGCAATTTGACTACCTAATTGTGTGTACTTTTTTTCTGTCCAATTTACACATGATACAGCTGACATAGGTGTTTGATTTGAATTAGGTATCAATTTAAAAATATATGTCTCATCAAAATCATGCATATGAAATTTTGGACATGATGGGGCCCATTTAATTTATTTGAAAAGCAAGCAAACTTACAATTAATTACTAGGTATCAATTTAAAAATATATGTCTAATCAAAATCATACACATGAAATTTAGGACATGATGGCCAGGCCCATTTAATTTATTTGAAAAGCAAGCAAGCAAGCTAGCAATTAATGCTTGGCTCGTTAAGTTGACCGAGCTATAATAAACGAGCTCGAACTTGACTCGTTAGCGTATCTCAACAACCCGAGCTTTTGTTTTAACAAATTTGTTAAACTATGCTAAGAGTTTTGAATTTTGTTTAAACCCCTCAATCTTTCAAGCCCAATAAGCCTTAAACGAGCTCGACTTCGACTCGTTTCGTTTAATAATCTAGCAAAAAGAAAAATTTAATTAAATTATTGGTGCATGGAGTGATAGTAAATTAGTAAATTTCTGGGGGAAAATTAAATGCTGCTAGCCAACCCAAAACAATCTTCATTTATTAGCATTCAGCTCATGTTACAGTTTTCTGCACAATAATAAATTTGTCAGCATGCTTGCTGGAGCAGAGATATGTCATTCATGATAAATCATATTGCAATTTGGCTAAACTTTTGGACCACCATTGCAATTATTTCATGGAACTATTCTTGAGTATGCCCCACTGTACTAAGTACTATTTATAACTTAATATTTGTTTCAACTTTCATTTGTACGTACAAAAATATAACAATTAAGTTATAATTACTTAGGACTAATTAATTAATTAATTTTGTTAACTTAATTAAAAAATGTGTCTAGGTCCTGGATGCTCGTCTGTGGCATACGGTGCATCTGAAGAAATTGGGCCGTTCAGGATTAGCAAAACCTCGTCTGGTTTGTACATGAACAAGTTTTCTTGGAACAAATTGGCGAATTTGCTATTTTTGGAAACTCCGGCTGGGGTCGGTTTTTCTTACAGCAACAGGTCCTCCGACCTCTTGAACACCGGAGATATTCGGACCGGTAATTGAGTTCGAAAAATCGAGTTTGATTATTGATTACTGACCATTTTGTTTCTTAGAGTATGACAATCACACTGCACAAGTGTTAAAGTTACATGCATAACTAGACTTGATTTGTGACCTAATGGAAATTTCTTTCATTTTTTTTTTCTTTTTTTTATGTTAATTATTCTCAGCCAAGGACTCGCTACAATTTCTCGTCCGGTGGTTGGATCGTTTTCCACGCTACAAAAACCGCGAAATTTATCTAACCGGCGAGAGTTATGCTGGACATTATGTGCCCCAACTCGCTAGAGAAATAGTCAATTATAACACGAACTCCGTGCACAAAATTAACCTCAAGGGCTTTATGGTAAATTTGCCTCTCAAACTATCCCCAACCTACCATATTCCAAATTAATCAAGTCGAATTTTTGTATTCCGCTTTCATGTTTCATTTCGTACTGTGTACTGATTATAAAAATGATGTCACGATCGGGATCGGTACATATGTCTCGTTTTAGGTTGGGAATGCGGTGACCGACAACCACTATGACAACCTAGGCACGGTCGACTTCTGGTGGAGCCACGCCATGATTTCCGACAGGACGCATAAGCAACTGATGAGCACGTGCAATTTTCAGAGGCAGAAAGAGTCGAACGAGTGCGAAACCATCTACTACTACGCGATGGATCAAGAATTCGGGAATATCGACCAGTACAACATCTATGCACCAAGGTGCAACAACTCGGACGGTAGTGCCACTCGTCACGACATGCGCTTGCCCCATCGGCCTAGTCCGGTATGTGAGACCTAAATAAACGAAAACTATATACTCAATTAAAACTTACGATCGATAATTTGTTTTTTATCTTTTGCTTTCGTAGATTTTTAGAAAGCTATCGGGCTACGATCCATGCACGGAAAAGTATGCCGAAATTTACTATAATAGGCTTGATGTGCAGAAAGCTCTCCATGCTAACATAAGTGGCCGGATACCATACAAATGGACTGCTTGCAGGTAAAATTACTTATTTTTTTTTTTCTTTCAAGACTATATAATATATTTTAGAAATTAACAATTAACTAATATCAATTTTAATTACATTGAATTTTTTGCAGTGAAACATTGAACAGGAATTGGAATGACACTGAAAGCTCAATTCTTCCAATCTATAGAGAATTGATTGCAGCTGGATTGAGAATTTGGGTGTTTAGGTAAACAAACATAATTATAATATAATGATTAAGTTAAATTAAATTAAATCAATTATCTTAAGTTAAATTAAATTAAATCAATTATCTTAAGTTAATTAATATATATTTGCATAAATTTCAGTGGAGATGTTGATGCTGTTGTGCCAGTCACAGCAACTAGATATTCACTAGCACAACTTAAACTACAGACAACAATTCCTTGGTACCCTTGGTATGTCAACAAACAGGTGAGTTTACGAGACAGCCTAACCGTTAGACTGGTCGACCTGCCAAATTTTTTTGTTTTACATAAAAATACTTGCATTATAAAATGTCATAATTTTGTTAGGTAGGAGGATGGACTGAGGTTTATAAAGGGCTGACATTTGCTACAGTGAGAGGGGCCGGTCACGAAGTGCCTATGTTCAAACCAAGAGCTGCATTTCAGCTGTTCAATTCGTTTTTGCAGGGGAAGCCCCTCCCGAAAACATGAATTTGCAATTCGGTCCCCGACATTATAAGTTGTAAAAGTTTTCACATATGATATGATCCCGCTGGCGCCTGAAATTGTACCGGTTGGCTTTGATTTTGGAAAATGACAAATTTTCATTTTTCAATCTGTTTGCTTACTGAGAATGCATTACGATTTGATGATATCATATGGATATAACAAGAATTCAAAGTTGTCCATAAACAGTCTGGTTAATAAAGAGAAATGCTACGGTCCTGTTAGAGTACCATCCCGACTGTTAGAGTACCATCCCGTCGGATGTTTTAACCGTTGGATCATCTATCTTATCTAACTACACGTGGATCCAACGGTTAAACACCGGACGGGATAGTACCGTAACGAGACCGTAGCATTTCCTGGTTAATAAGTTGCCCACAAGACAACGCACACAAATTTGTGTGTTAAGATTTCCATGAAGACCAGCAACGGTCAACACTCAAAAAGGGTCCAAAGAAGAAAAGCACCTTCAAAGAAACTCTATAATCACATATAGACACTACTCTGTAGTATTATTTATCAACAAAGGTTTGCTGGCTGCCTCTGAACCAAGCAAGATTCGAGGAAAATTCCATTGGATCGGCCATTAATACATTTTTTTTTTTTTCTTTAAGATTTGGTTGTGAGATGGCCTAATCCTTAGGCATCGACATACTTTTTTTCCAGACCACACAACAGTTACAGCCTCTGTATTAGTAATGGAAGAAAGTAAGAACCAAGAGCCTGAAGAAAGAAACGACGACAGGCTCGTCGCCATCAATCATCAGCTGAAGGAAATTCAGGACAGAATCAGTAATTGGGAAAAGGATCAATCCTATACTGAAGCTCACGAGTACATGAAAGCCGCCGATCAAGCTCGGAAATTGATCCACAACTTGGAAAATAGTATTCCCCCAAGCACAAACAGCACCTTACTGGTTAAGGCCCACGAAGTACTCGAGAAGGTAATGTCTCGACTCGAGGACGAATTCCGGCGCCTGCTGGTGCATAACAGACAGCCTTACGAGCCTTGCGCAAGTGAGGTTGACTTCATTGATAGCAAGGCAGAGTCGGCCCTTCAAGACCACGCCATCGAGCTGATGTGTCCGGACGTGATCTCGAACCTGAGAAGCATCGCCAATTTCATGTTCCACTTGAACTACGGTCGGGAGTGCTCTCGGGTGTTTGTGGAAGTTCAGAAAGACTCGCTAAACGATTGCCTTATCATGCTCGGGGTGAAGAAGCTCACCTTAGAGGACGCGTTGAAGATGGAGTGGAGCCCGCTCTACTCGAGAACCCGACAGTGGGTGCGGGCCATGAAGCTCTTCGTGCGCGTCCACCTGGCATCCGAGAGGCTGCTGGCCGATCGGGTCTTCGTGGCCCTCAGGCCCATGGTGGGGCCCACCTGCTTTGCCGAGTCGTCCAGGGCCCCTTTCCTCTGCCTACTGACCTTCGCCAAGGCCATCGCCATCGGGCTCCCCAAGCCAGAGAATTTGATCCGGATCCTCGATGTGCGCAAGGCCTTTGCGGGCCTTGCCCCGGACGTGGCAAATCTGTACCCCGGCGGGCCCGGTACGTGCATCAGAGCCGAATGTATGGATGTCATCGGGCGGCTGGGCACGTGCGCAAGGGCCACCTTCGTTGAGTTCGAGAGCTATGTGGGGTCCGCCTCGGCCATCCCGTTGCCGCCGGGGGGTGGGATCCCTGACGGACTACGGTGAGACCCTGGACGAAGTCCTTTGGGACCCGCACGATCTCAAGGGCCCGCCAGGGGAGGACAAGTCGCTGATGGCCCGACACTTCAAGGCCTTGATGTCGGGCCTGGAGCGCAAATTTGAAGAGAAATCAAGCAAGTACCGGGACAAGGCCCTGCAACACGTCTTCTTGATGAACAACGTGCATTATATGGCAGAGAATGCGAAGAATTCCGAGCTCAGGATGGTACTCGGGGACGACTGGATACATGAGCACAATAGAAAGTTTCAACAGCATGCGATGAATTACAAGCGTGCCACCTGGAGCCCGATTCTTGCTTTGCTGGGGCATGCGGAACTGATGAACGAACTGCCCGCAAACTCTTCTTTGCAGACTACTCTCAAGGGGAGGCTGCAAGGGTTTTACCACGCGTTCGAGGAGGTTTACAAGAGCCAGACGGGTTGGTCGTTCCCAGACAGCGAGTTTAGGGAAGATCTTAGGATCTCGACCTCTACCATAGTGGTCCTGTCTTACCGGACTTTTCTCGGGTTGTTTTGGAGACATATTAGCGTTAAGGATGTCAAGTATACGGTCGAAGATTTGGAGGATTACATTAGGAATCTTTTCGAGGGGTCCCCAAAATCGTTACCCGGCCAGAAGAGGTGAAGTTTAAACGTGATGGTGTATGGGACTAGTGATGGAAGGATGAGGTAATGAGATTGTAGTTTGAGTGCTCACTATACACTCTGCCCAAATGGCTATGTAATTAATAGTTTATATGTTCTCTTTATTTTAGTAAAAAATTATGTTTTGTGTTGTAAAAGTGTGTCTTTGTTTTCTCAAGTATGAGAGGGAGAATTGGGGTTTGAGTCCTGTTGTGTGATCACTTAACATGAATTTTCTAACATGATCAGTGCATTTGTCATGAGTTACACAATACATCCATCAATGCAACTTATGAAGGCCTAGTTGATTACGAGATTTGGCCCTTTTTTTTATCCACACTTTCGGCTCAGGGGGTTCCGATTCAAGAACTCGCCGGCGTGTCATTTTGGTTCGGACCCTCCGGTTTTGGGTCAACCCGCACGGGTCCAAGTATAAAAAAATATGTTATATATATATAACATACAAAATTATTCACGTTGATCCGTTGGTTCTAAGTTTGACTGACTTGGTGAAACTTGAACATTGATCCTGCAACGTATATGTAATTTAACCATGGAGTTTAAATTGTGTCAAACCTAACGATTCCACATTAGACTGGATACCAATTAAAAAATGTTAAATCTGAATTTTGGAATTCAAAAGTTTGCCAAACTCAGTGGGTCGGACCGGTTCCGAGTTGGTTCCAGACCCACCGGGTCAAAATGTTTCGGAAACTTGAACAAGAAGTCAAGAACTAATGGTCACAGGCCCGTGGTGGGCGGTTCAACGGGCTGACCCGGTCTGGTGGCAACCTCTATGTGTGGGATGAGGATGAGATAAACCGTCTTACGTTGAACGGTCCTGATCAACTGCGTACACACTATCACCTGTACACCTGCCCGCAGACAAGATTCGCCTTCTATAAACTCGCAAGCCTAAAACCCTTGCTTGCGGAGTCTATCGCAGTGTTGGAGAACAATAATAAAGATCTGATTTTTAGTCGGGTATTCATTCTCTCTTCGTCTCCCGTCTGCTTAAACCCTAAACCCTTTTCAATTTCCTTTGGATCTCCTGCTCCCAATTTGCAATTGATTCGGTTTTTTTTTTTTTATCTTTGGTGTTCAAATCAGGTGTAGGGTTCGTGGGAGAATATTATTTTTTTAATCATTTCTGTTTGATTCGTTTGTTTTTAAGATTATGAACTGGTGAATAGAGGACAGACTTACTGTCCGGACTGTCAAAAATGATCTTTCTCTGTTTATTGCATCTTATGTTTTCGTTGTGGTATTTTGGTGGTTATATTCATGGTGTGATTCTGTGAATAAAATGAGAAATGACTGCAAGGCATCTGTCCTCTTGTTGGGGTGTTATGACTGTTAGTTTATAGACTGTCGTGGTGTGGAGCACGCAGATTGTTCCGGGTTTCGAATATTGGGATTTGCTTTTGATCTTTGTGAGATAAGAATTATTGCCAGTTTACCTTGTTGTGCTTAATTCATCAGAAACAGAAGATGATTTATAAAACCCACATGATATTTGGGGATTGACTGTTTGTTTGTTTGAGCCAGTTAACTCATTTTGATGGATGAAAGTTGCGAGTTTGTTAATTCGTACTTAAACTTCAATCGATGCCTTATTGTTCTGTTTGACCTCTGCGTGGATATAGCCCAGTATATAGATTTTGAGTGCCTTTGCCTGCACTATCCCTTGTGTTCTTATTTTTATTTTTTGGTGGGCACTGTACTAGGTACAACAATGGCTTTCCTGAACAGAGTTGGCACCTTGCTAAAAAGTAATGTCAGCAAACATATCACGTCAGCATCTTCTTCCTCAAACCCTTCACTTTTTCAGGCAATAAGGAGCATGAGCTTCGTTGCGGGCACAAAGCTCTTTGTTGGAGGTTTGGTCTTTCTTTCACTATGTTGAATTGATTCTTTTTATCTATTTATTCATATATTTCCATTTTGGACACTATGCTGTTATCTTACTGCAGGTCTCGATTATCGAGTGGACGACCAGACTCTAAGGGAACATTTTTCTCGCTATGGGGAGGTTGAGTATGGTATTGTTTTTAAGGCCATTGAGTCAATTGCAATTCTTAACTTTTTCTCCCTCTGTTTTGTAATATGTTAATATGGTGAATGTGATATTGGTTCTGATTATATTATAATGTTTAGTAAATGAGGAATAGTTAGGTATTCTAACAGTCAGTTTTTTTTACCTGCTCATATACAAATATTTGCAGTTAAAATTATCACGGACCGTGATAGTGGTGTTTCTCGTGGATTTGGCTTTGTGACTTTCATATCTAACGAGGCAGCTTCCAGTGCCATTCAGGGACTTGACGGCCAGGTACTTTACTTTAGCCGCTTCAGTTTTTTATTCACTATTTCGTGGAAATTTAATTTGTGCTTACTATTTTTCATTCTTGAAATAACTAACTAATCCAGCCGAGACAAGAGGCGCTGGATCCTTTTTAACCTTTATTGAACTTTAGATGAAAATAGTACGCCTAGAAAGATTAAATTTTTTCCAGCTCCTATAGTAATTAGTAACACAGCTCAAGAAAGTTATCTACTCCGAGTGTAATCCTAAACTTATTTGATGGCTAATGCATGTGAGAGGTCCCTAATCATGAACTATTCAGGAACTGAATGGGAGGAGGCTCAGGGTGAACTATGCTACTGAAAAACCTCGTGGAGGAGGCTATAATTATGGCGGTGGTGGTGGCTGGCAGGGTGGCAATGGCAATTACTCCGCTGGAGGATATCCAGCCGGCAATTACTCCGGGGGTGGAGATGGAAACTATGGTGGCAATGTTGGGTGGGGCAGTGGTGGTGGAGGCGGCGGCTATGGTGGCGGCAACGAGTTTTCCGGCGGCAGTTCCGGTAGTGGAAATTATGCTGGTGGGGCAGGGGCCGGCTATGGCGGTGGAAACGAATTTTCCGGCGGAGGTTCTGGTGGTGGAAGTTACTCCGGTGGGGCAGGGGCCGGCTATGGCGGCGGCAATTCTCTGCGAGGCGGTGAAGGAAATGGTGGCTATTCTGATAGTTCGCCGAACTTAAGCTCCATTCTGAATGACGGGCCGGGTGGGGCCCATGCTGGAGACCAGGAACTGGTGGGTGGTGATGGAGGCGAATTCGGGGATGGAAAAGATGATTTTGGAGATTTTGGTGAAGGTGAGAACAGCAGGGATGAGGATGATTATGCAAACAACACCAGGAGTTGAAGAGGTGAAATGTCTTACGCGTTTTCGCTTCTTCTTTTTGAGACTTTTGGGTGTAATTTAATAATTCACCTTCCTTTTGTTATTTGGTATTTTATGTTCTCGTGTTTCTTGTTAAGAATGCTGAATCTTTACTGATAAGACTTTTTATGGGTGTCATATTGTTCTTTGGGGTTTTTTTGCTGTGAATTTCTTGTTTAACTTATAAATTTGTGGCATGTGATGTCTGTTTGAAACGAATTTGCCTGGTATAATATTGTACAATTTGCCAATTAGAAGTGTTTACAACAAAAAAATCACAACGGTTGTAACACAATTTCTCATTAATTTGTTACTTACCAACAGATATATTTTGTATTATTTTGGGTTATGTCATTTTATTGTTTGCTTGCTCATGATTGACTATGAAACTTAAAAATGACAATAAGCACAACCTGATCCACAAGCAGTGAATACAACATTATTCATGAAACAAAGTATTTGATTCATAAATTTTACAACCAATGCATATGCTACAAGGCCTCATGGACCGAGCACGGTAAACTGCTGCCCACCTCAAAACAGGCACCAAAGTTATTCTTCACAAAAG